CTGTTACCAGTCACGCTAGCATTGGTCTCAGCGCTGACTTTGGGCGCGGTGCCAAGGATGGGATGCTGGCAGAATTTCAATCTGCAGAGCAGGGAGGTGAGAGCCACAGCATCTCAAGAGTGGCTCAAGCGGGAGGCAGCACTTCATGATCAGCAAAGGTGTTAGCTAGCACCAGGAACGTTTGCTGCGTTTTGGGCCCCTCGCTGCAAGGGAAACAGCAAGGTCTTGGAACGTGTCCAGAGAAGGGCAGCAAACCTGTGAAGGGTCTGGAGCACAAGTCTTCTGAGGAGCAGCTGAGGGAACTGGGATTGTTTGGTCTGAAGAAGAACAAGTTCAAGGGAGGCCTCATCACTCTCTGTGACTACCTAAAAGGAGGATGTGGCGAGGTGGGGTTCAGCATCTTCTCCTGGGTATCAGTGATAGGGTGAGAGAGAACAGCCTTAAGTTGCATCAGGGGAAGTTTGAGTAGGATATTAAGAAAAAATTTCTTCTCAGAAAGAGTGGTGAGGCACTGGAACAGGCTGCCCAGGGAGGTGATGGAGTCATCATCCCTGGAGGCATACAAGAACCACGTGGATGGGGCAGTGAGGGAGGTGGTCAGCGGGTACGGTGGTGGTGGGCTGATGTTTGGGCTAGGTGAACTTAGAGCTCTTTTCCAAACCTAATGATTCTGTGATTCTTGCCTCTGTCACAAAGCCTCACTTGTTCTCCTGGCTTTGTTGCAGTGTTCTCCCTCTGCCCTTCAAAATAACTCCTAGATTAAACACATCTGGGACATTGAGAATAAATTGGAAGGGAAGAAAAGGCCTGCGAGTGACACAAAGGAAGAAGTTGGCCATCTGATCATCACAGATGCCTCACTGAAGAAACAGAAGAATGCTACTCTGCCAGCAGTAATGATGGAGATGAGACTGGATTTAATGAAGATGTTAAGATTTTTTATTAGTCACAGATTAGAATGGTTCAGCACCCAGCCTGTCATTGGAATGTTGTCATGATTGACTCTATTTCGAAAGTAGGGATAAAAATAGCAATTGTACTGCAGATCAGTTTTCTGGCAGAACTAAACAGCGAGACTGATTCTGTTGTGTGCCAGACTCTAGTGCTGTCGCACATACAGTTTCAATGAAATTTATTTTTAAAATAAAATACTGAACAGTTTTGAGCTGAACTGTAGTGTTTCTAACATATAATCCAGTGAGAATGCTAAACTTTACCATGCATGTAGTAATGATGGAGCTAGAAACGCACTGTATGAACACTTGGGCTAGAAGCTGTATACCTGCTGACTGTCAGCATGTTTTCTTTCTGTAATGTTGTTACTCTTGATGGACTACTATCTGTACAAGAGGTTGATATTAAGCTTAATATCGAGACTACAATCTATCAATTTTTTTATTCTGCTTAAAAGGCACCTAAGAAAAATTTCACTGAAATAAATCAAAAATGCCACGTGAACCTGGTAACCGAAAATATTATATGCTAAAAGGCACAGAAAAAAAAATGACATGATGATCTGAAAACATTGAGTTAGCTAGGAGAGGTAGAACATACATCTTAGTAACAAATCTGCAAAAAATATATTGAAGAGCAAAGCCAACCTTGTGTTATACTATGTTAGCTCTAAAATGGCACAAATAGTAAGGTGAAATAACAAAACAAACGGAGTAAATTCAAGTGCTATAACAGCATTTTAACCTGATGCGTTTGCCCATATTTCTGGTTTTATTGGATTCTATGTAAGCTTCAAATGCTGTTTGAAGATAAAGTATACAGGATATCTTTGTATGGGAAACTACTGCTGCAAGAGGCCTTATCTACAAGGTATAATCCATTTTGACTAATGTAATTTAAACTCATTGTTGTTTACTTTTTCAAGACTATTTCCCCAACTATTTACAGGTAGCTATATCCTAGTGGCTTGCGCTGTGCTGATACCAAGCTCAGGCAAAGCTAAAATGTACATTTCCTGTTCCAGTAAAAGGAACAGGTAAAGAAAAAACAACAACAACAACAACAAAAAAGCTATCCAAGATGTTGTTTTCAAGAGCTGTAATAGCCCAACATTCAACAGTGCTTCTTAGTAGCAGATCTGGGAGTAGAGGTCTGAGAAAGAGAAGTTTCCAAGATAGATAAGGTTGATTTTCACAGATGTAGCCAAATAACAGGAGCTTGTTTCCCAAGCCTCCTCCCTGCTTGGGCAAAAGAAGACTACATTTACTGTAACCAACAGCAGTGAAAGTTTAGCAAATAACTATGCAGAGCCAGGATCAGATTATAAGTAAAGATAGTAAGTAAAGATAAAAGAAGATGCTGTGATGGTGCCAACGCAGAGATCTGATAGCACAGATGCTCTCATCAGCAGGGAATTTCAGTCTCAAACCAAAGGTCTTGGTGACAACACCATCCTTTGATGCAGACATCTGTTTATAAACTTCATAGTGGTAATATCATAGATTAGCAGTAGTGTTGTATTTAGAGAGGGTTTGTGAATTCTTATCCTGACTCAGAAGATGGCCTCATTTTGGATACTCTCTGAACTGATCAAGTGTAAGACCTCTTTTTTTTCCTCCCTTCATTTTCTTTCTCCATATCCACTTCTTCTGTTATAAATGACAGGAGTAACCCACAAAATAAAAGAAAGATGAGATCAGTGAAAAGGCTAGCTGAGGACTGCCTATATAAATACACTAGTTTTCATGATAGGATTAATTGTTTCTGCATGTCAGGCCAGAGCCCCATGCAAGTATAACTCCAGAAAAACTCATCTGGCATAAGTGTGCTACGTATTGATATTTTGGTTGGCTTGTAGTACAGGAGTGTTGCTGGGGTCTTTCTTTACTGTTGTGCTATGCACGTCAAACTGTTTGAAAGCCCATTAGAGAAAAACACCCAAGGTTTGTGAAATGTTTATAACAGAGCTTCAGTTTAACTTGAGCTATGTAACATTGCAGGTTCAGCTCTCCAGTGTGAAACCTGGATGTAACTCTGTCCCTACTGCTGACACACCCAATGACACTGCAAATCAGCACACTCGCAAAACTGTACTGAGCAGCCTGCTCAGTTTCTCACTGCTAGCAAGCCTTTTCTTGCTGCTACTGGGTCTGAAATTAGTAACAATAAAAAGAACATTCAGATATCTCCCTAAGAGCAGCTGCTCCCAGAAAAGCCACAGAGGGAGCACAGAAAATTCCCGTGGGAGAGCATCCATTCCATGCCTCTGTCACGTACTAGCTGACAACATGGTAGGCTATTTATAGTGTTTGTCTAAGTACGTGCTTGAAAGTGTTAGCACCTTTTCTTTATAATCTATATTTAGCTGTGGTAGTTTAACTGTCCTGCTAAGCAAAGCAGGTTTGGTGGGAGCACATCCTAATGAATCACCGTTGTAATATTTAAATGATTTATGATACCGTTAAACAGCACTTCATTGGAAACTTCAGTGGAAACTTATTTTCAGCAAGAATAATATTTTCTGTTACAGATCGATCTTAGTGTTGAATACTCTGAAGCTGTAGCAGAGCCAGAATTGTCACAAACTTCATTTCTTGTCTCCATCACCAGAGGTAGCTCCCCAAACTTTAAGATTTGTGTTTTGACTTACATTTGAATGCTTACACTTTATTTTTATTTCTGACACTGTCCTGCTCTCCAGTGTAATTAACATTTTGATCAGTCACATTACTTTGGCTATCAACATTTTCTCCCTAGAAGTATGTGTTACAGAATGGTTATTCTGTACATCTGCTCCTGAAAAAAAAAAAAAAAGAAAAAAAATCTTTGCACAAACATGAAAAAGACAATTGTAGGAAGAAAAAGACTTCTATATTCTGTTAAGTAGGAGAACCAAGCACTGACTGCAAAAGGCAACACAATATTCTGATCAATTAAAGTTTCTACTTTGGATTTCAATTATATGGCCATAAAACTGCACACTGATGTTTTAGGCAATCAGCACCTTATCCTCCAACCTAATGAAGTTAGTGGAAAAGAGGTAAAGGCACTTTCCCAAAGCTTGCCTAAGAGAGAGACAGCTTTCAATTTATTTGAATTAGGCTATCGGCACTACCACAGAGTGGTAACAGCATCTCATCAAAATCTAGGCTCTGGGCTTTTCTGAGATTACATTTTACAATCAACGTTACTGCCATGTGAATCTAAGCCTAGAACTATATTTCAATTAATTAGCATACTTTTTGGTTAATAACTTGTTTCCTGTGTTGTTCTTTTACTTGACAGTGTGTTCTTAATTTCCTGTATCTAAGCAAATCAAACCTTCCTGTGACTGAGTAAAATATAATGAAGTTTCTGTAGGTGCACTCTGGAGTAAGCAGATTTTAATTTAACTCAATTTCGCAGCAGTGCAGCATAAGTGTGAGAGACTAAGAGGAAAAAAAAAGAACAAATTTTATGAAATCTAACTGTGCACTAAGAAGTCAAGATGTTGCTCTTACATGGATTTGTACAATACAATGTAAAAGCTATATAGATTCAGCAAGCCTTGTGAAAAAAGAGTGACATTGCCAATTCTTAGCAGTGCAATCCTAAATAATAACTGTGGTTTGACAGACATGCTTCTACCATTTCTTGGTTAGTTTCAGCTTTGATCTCAGCTATTCTGGCCCCCAGGAGCAATGGAAAGATAGGAAAGGTTAACATTTTATACCGTTGACAGTGCTCTTTGTGATAATTTGCCAATAAATGAGCAATGATTTAAAAGGAAAACATTAAACTATATGATAAAAAATAAATACTGCATTGTGGGTTTAAAGCATAGTGCTACACTGCCTGTCATCCTTTAGAAAATGTGTTTTCTCATTAGATAAGTTGTACGAGAGCTGTTGAATCATGGCCTGAACCTCTAATTGATCACCTGAGGCAAGCAATGAGTCAGCAATGGGAGCACAGGTGAAGGCAATTCAGCTGAGTGACTGGAAGGGATAGAGCCTGGGTGCACTTGTCCTACACCCCACTTAAGGGCTGACTGCCACTGAGGAAGGATCTCTTTCTGGAGATCGTTCCTCTGGGAGTCTTTTTCTGTGAGCTTGAGATGCAGGTAAGCTTTTCTATTCTTTTCTGTTTATTTTTCTGTAATGTAATAATCTTTCCAGCTATACGCTCTCTAAAGACCAGCTTAACTTTACTGTTTGCTTGTCAACTATGTATCTGTATATTTGTTGACTATATGTAAGTCCATGTCATTTTAAGTCTAAAAGTGATGAGAAACAGAGAGATTCAGCACACAGGAGCACTAAACATTGAAAGCATTTGTATCTGAGAGCCTGGCATCATACTGCAAATTCCCTAACTTTCTTTTCAAATCCAGAACAAACAGATGCTATCTCAAGAGCCAGACTGACTGTTGTGGGCTGGGTCTTTCTTCATGCTGTACTGCTGCTGTAGGCCAGTGACATAACATCTACCAGTACTGTAAGAGTGAAGTAGGCTCCCTGAGAGGACTCTAATTTTGTAGGTCACCACCACTTTCAGAGCCAGTGTTTTTGTTCTGTACAGGATATATCTTACAACATAAAGTGCTTTAACAGTTTTAATTAAAGAAGCTGTTGTGAAAACGGTTTCTTGTTGAAGTGAGGAGGAGTCCCTGTTACTTGAAAGAGACCCAGGATATTCCAAAGCAGTTTTGAGAAATTTTCAGGGTTTACATATACTTGGGTTTTCTTAGCGGTCTCATCATGATAGAAGTAAAATACACTCATCAGGGAAAAATGAACTGGTTTATAGAAATCTTCTAGCCACGCTATTTTTAAACGTGTTTTTCATTAGCAAGGTTTTACCACAGCTTTCTTGACTAGTAGTTGCTATTCTTTTGGGTAAAATTAACTGTTGTAATCAGAGACTGTTAACCATTACTGAGATTAAATAGCCTGTCATTCAGATTTATGTAATTGTTAGAGGGAATTAGGAAGAATTGCCTTCTAGCACTTGTGAGTCAAATATTTATTGTAGCTCAGCTATTATGGTGGGCTTGAACTTCGAAATAAGTTTGGAAGAAAGAAAAACAAAAACAAGATAACATAATGTGTCTTCTGCAGCTCTGGTGAGGTCAGCTTCTTTGCTGTTTTCATTAAGCAATGCAATGAGGCTACACATGTTGTTTTGCAGGAATTACCCCTTACAGAAGCAGTGCTAGGAAACAACTAAACAGACAAAAATCCCTCAGCCAGAAAGCCTCCTTAATTATCATACTCAGTGCTACTCAGAGGGCTACCATGTAATAAAACTTACTCTAATTTAGCGGGAAACCGCAAGACCCACATTATTTGTACAAAAGATGACTAGAGTTAAAATGCTACATCAGCTGCATGAATATTAACAGTGCTAGGAGCCATGAGTTCTCAGACTTTGCAGACATGTTCAGCACTATGCTTATCAGGCCTCCCTGGAGCATACCTAAATGATGCAAAGCTGAAAACAGTTGATAGAACTAAGAGTTCATACCAGTTTCAGGAACTGTTGGCACTGCACCTGTGCCTGATTTAGCAGCAGATTTTTATTATTATTATTATTTGTGGAGGGGGATGAAACTTCAAGGGAAAAAAAGGCAGCATGCTTGAGCTCAACCTGCAGCCAGGCGCACCTCTGCATTGCTCCCTTTGGAGAGCTTGACTTGCAGCATGGACAACCCCTTGATTTGGTGTTTGTGATGCTGCATGCAAAAACCTAGGGCTCCTGCTAGACAGAGTACAGCCTTCTGAGGATTTGTTTTTTCTCCTGCCAATAAAAAAAGCTGTCATTTGCTCTGATCTTCCTAGAGAACTGTTCTCTAGGAAGGGTAAAAAAACAGTCAGTAGGTATAGCAGAAATGCTAAGCCATGGCCTGAACCAGTGATGGAGCACCTGGTGGGAAAGCAGGGCTGACTCAGGGGAGCTTAAGTGTATACAATGACCAGAAGAGGTGGAACTGGGATCCGCCCTTTCCCAGACCTCATTTAAGTGTTGACAATGAAGGTAAGGGTGTGTTGTTGGAGTTTGTTGTGTACCTGAGGCCTTCTAAGGGTCAGTGGATTTCTTTTATCCTTTGTTTCTGTGTCTATGATTGTTGCACTGAGGTTGCTGCTATGCTTTCCATTGCATTACAGTGTTATACTGGGGTTTGACTTTTCAATTGGGAATGGAAAAGTGGTTGAAAAAGATCTTTGACATCTCAGGTTCTGGGGTCTATTTAGATCAGTCAGGTTTTTCCTAGTGTTTCCTGTTGGCTGGGCAGTGGTTTCAGAAATGCAGGCTTGGCTTTGCCCCATGCCATCGCTGAAGATGGATCACCAGGGTGGCAGCATACTGGCTTTGGGAGCTGTGGTGTCACCTGCTACCCCCTGTATGACACTTCTCTTAATAAAAGCTGGAACAGAAACCCTTCTCAGGAGGTTAGTTTTTAAGCCCAGCCAGCTGACCACAGCTGTTCTCCTGCAGCACTTCTCTGTATGTAATTGTGGCAATGCTGGGAATGAGTGGCCGAGGAAGCAGGAATGTACCGTGTCCAGCCTAGTGTTGCATCTAGTGTGCAGACAGGTTGTGTTGCATACTTTCTCAATTGTTTCAGTCAGACATTTCTGTTAAACTGTTGTTAAAGCAGGGATAGGGGCTCCTAAACAGTTGGTAGCAGTCATATTTACCTTGATATGGCTAGGACTTCATCCATTTAAATGGCAATCAAATATTTCTTGTGGTGTCATAGGGAGCTTAGTAGTTTTGCTACTGCTGTAAAGCTGGACGTGACTTGATCTAATGCTAAGATGAGAGACCATGTATTTCTGGACTTTAACTCAAAGTTGGTTCATTGTCTCCTGCTGATCACCTGGTTTTTAAGCACTGCTGACTGCTATGTGCACTTGGTATTCAGGCTGAGCCTCTTGAGCGTGGGAGAGGTTTTGTGCCATCACATTCAAATCTGTTCTGTGTAATTTGGATCTGAGTTTTATTTTCACCTCTACTTCTATTTCAGAGCACATATTCCATATGTAGAACGAGATGCTTTTTTGTTATGCTTTTGGGAAAGTCGCTGAGTATTTTCTGAAACCTGCTGAGTTACATACTTGTTTCAGAAATATTCCATGTTTGTGTATGCTTCTGAAATCTGTCCTTGAAAGTTTATCTACATCAACAGAACTTGAAGCATTCCACTTCTTCATCTTATTTCTCTTTTTAGTATAATTAATCAGGCAATACAAGCGAATAACACACTGAGGATTACAAATTATTTCAGCAGTGTGGCTGCTGAGCTCAACTTTGGCATGCATAGGAAGGACTATGAATATTTTTGTGTTTAAGTTGATATAATAAGAATAGTTTCTCCTTAAAATCTGATTGCTTAAATACTGTTTGAAATGTACAGATTAAGTGGGAATTTGTGGCTAAGTACCTGAAGTTGGTAGTCAGATTAGCTCTGATGCTTCATTATAACTGCGGGAACCAAGAAGGAGTTGTTATTGTTATGTAGCTGTAAAACCTAATGTAAGACGTCTTGCTCTTCGTGTGATAGGTAGTTGTTGTGGGCAGCATTGAGATACTGAACTTCAAAAACTATGTTCAGTGACATATTTTTCTACTTGTTTTTTTCCTAATTTATCTCTTTTTTTTTTTTTTTACTTGAGATAGATTACCTTGTCTATCAATTTTATACAGAAAGCAGTATTAAAAGTATATCTAACAATTCTATTATCAAAAGTGTAGCAGAGTTAGTGCTAGGAGTTTTCACCAGTGAAGCCCTAAATTCTATTCCAGAATAGCTCCCAAAAATTTGAATTTCATTACTTAAACTTTGTTACTAATGGCTGTAATTACTAGCGTATTACTAGCCTCTGTGTAAGGAGAAACTGGAACTGAAATACCAAAGATTTCTGCATTTCAGGTCAAACTGAGGGAGAAATTCTTGCCAAACATAGCAACATTGAATACTTGGAGCCTCACACTTCTGCTTTCTCATCAGCCACAAACATAGTCTTTAGTCTGGCTATAAAGGTGCTGAAACTTTATCTATTCACCTTCCAATTGCCCTCCTCCAGGGCCAAATCGCAGTCACTTGCATGGGCAGTCCTTGTATGTATCAGCCTCAGCAGCATTTCATAGAATCACTAAGGTTGGAAAAGACCTAAAAGATCACCCAGTCCAACCGTTCACCCATTCCCAATAGCTCCTACTAAACCATGTCCCTCAACGCAACATCCAGTCTTTCCTTGAACACCCCCAGGCTCGGTGATTCCACCACCTCCCTGGGCAGTCCATTCCAGTGCCTGACCACCCTTTCTGAAAAGTAATACTTCCTCATGTCCAGCCTGAATCTCCCCTGGCGTAGCTTGAAACCATTCCCCCTGGTCCTATCACTAATGACACGAGAGAAGAGGCCGACCCCCAGCTCACTACAACCTCCCTTCAGGAAGTTATAGAGAGCAATGAGGTCTCCCCTGAGCCTCCTCTTCTCCAGGCTGAACATTCCCAGCTCCTTCAGCCTCTCCTCATATGGCCTGTGTTCCAGACCCCTCACCAGCTTTGTTGCCCTTCTTTGAACACGTTCCAGGGCCTCAATATCTTTCTTGCAGTGAGGGGCCCAAAACTGGACACAGTACTCGAGGTGCGGCCTCACGAGTGCTGAATATAGGGGAACAATCACCTCTCTGCTCCTGCTTGCAACACTGTTTCTGATGCAAGCCAGGATGCCATTGGCCTTCTTGGCCACCTGGGCACACTGTCGGCTCATGTTCAGCCGAGCATCAATCAATACCCCCAGGTCCATTTCCTCTACGCAGTCCTCCAGCCACACCGCCCCAAGCCTGTAGCGTCGCCTGGGGTTGTTGTGGCCGAAGTGCAGGACCCGGCATTTGGCCTTGTTGAAACTCATCCCATTGGCTCCAGCCCAGCTCTCCAGCCTGTCCAGATCTCTCTGTAGGGCCTCGCTACCCCCAGGTAGATCCACACTTCCAGCCAATTTGGTGTCATCTGTGAATTTACTGAGGGTGCACTCGATGCCCTCATCGAGGTCATCATTTCAATACAGCTTTAGGAGTGGATTAATGTGTTGAGTTTTTACGTATGGTAAAT